ACTTCCCGAACGCAGATTCCTGCAGGTGTCGTGCTCAACGGATACCGCTTGATGTAGTTGCGCTTGCAATGAGTTTTCACCGGCGAAATTAATAGGTGCTATTTATCATGATTTTACGTAACATCCGCAATCAGTCGTCACGTAATGATATTGTATCGCTACAACCATGCGTTTCGAAGGAAAACACTGCGGATCGAAAGAAACAAGATTGCTTATACCGTGCGGCGGCGTTCGCGCGACACGGTCCGAATACGACAGGAACCGTGCGTCTACCTCCGCGCGCGCGACTTCTTGTCGTGCCAGAAGCATGTTTTGCAGTTCGCCCGCATCCCGGGCGGGAACCACTTTCGCCCCCTCGAGCCCCGGCGGTCCTCTCGCCGTTGCGCTTTCGGAGAATATGGATCGGCCCTGACAATATTGCCGTCGGAACCACCCCACGTCTCCACCGGCATGATATACGCGGCCGCATTTCATATATTCCATTGTTTCCAAGTTTTCGGATCCATTTGTAAGATTAAATTTGTAATGCGGGAACACTCCGCCGCCGCCCCTGCTGTCCCCGCGCATCACGCCGCCGCCCTCGCACCCTGCCGTCGCCACCTTTCGCCGCGCGCACGCCGAGAGTCGACGCATATGGCCGACCGACCAATTTCCTCGTGTGCTAAAACACCAACATCGCGTGTAGCGAAAAGATTTCCACTTGCTACTAAAGCCCAGGTTTTTCCCTGTGCGCAGTGTCAGAAGTCGCGCGATTTCCGGCTCGAAATTTGCAGGTCAAAAAATCTGCCTAAGAAACCTTATTTGTTTTCAAAGATGTTACTTCTGATGATAACAATGATAATTTCTGATTCTAAAAAATACAAATACATGTACTCGATTCGTTTTGTCAAAAGCACTTATAATATTGCTCCCAATTCTAAATTTTCCGATTGTTAAAACTGAAATCCATGGAAAACACGGCAATAATAAAGAAGTAAAGAGTTTCTCAATAAAGTTAACGTTGCCATATTTAACCAGAGAAAAGAGTATAAAACCGGATAAGCAGTAATTCTCATTTCCATCAGTGGTTTCCATGGCTTCTGGCCGAAAACACGACAGCGTATGTACGCGTACATGTGTATACGTAACGTATGGCGCATAAGCTATTCGCGTTAACCGGCCACTTTCAGATTGGATGGCGTGCTTTTCGGCATATGGATTCATCGCGGATTGAGCCGCGGTTTCCATCCCCTAATGGGAAATTCATGTCTACGATTGCTCGCCGCGGAGTAGCCGAGATTACTCCGCGACTTTCGGACTTCAGAGAGTAAATAGACACAAATCGTCGCGCTGTACTCGTTAATTACGTGCACTTTATACAATCAAACTAGCAAGTTAACCTGGTATGTTCTGCACCATTTCGCATTTATTTTTGGTTTATGAATACTATGGTTGGTGAATTAATTCCAGATAAAATATAGAAATTATAGTACAGTTTGTAAATCAGATTTGCAAAATCAATGAATTCTAGATAGGATAAACATCTAAATCATAGAAGAAATAATAAAAATAATAAAAAATCTTTCAAGCTGATCTAAACTCCTTGAAATAAATTTATATGATAACATTTTGCATATTTAATATTTTATAAAGACAGTATATATTTTTTTAAGACTTTACTTTTTCCATGTTTGCAAACTACTATTGTACAACAAAAAAGAAGCGAAATTTACTAGAATTACATAATTTCAACATCTGGACGAAACTATAATTCTAAAAGTCGAAAATTTCTTCCCTGAAAAAAAATCCGCAGGCAGTTCCCTACGCGAATGACCTTCCCTCACTCTGACATAACTCCAATGCAGAAACGAGCGGAACATGTTCCCGGCGACGATACCCGTACGAGTGGACACCTAGCGCACGTTCTGCCGTACGCGCGCAGCCGACGGGCGTGCTCTCTCTTTCTCTTTCGCAATTGTCTACCGCGAGAGCGCTGGAAACTTTCATAAATTTCGTCACAGAGCGAGCAAATGGCTTCCGGTCCAGCGGTCGGACATTGTCGATAACAGGCACGTCGCCAGGGGGCGAATTCAATATCGCATTCGCACCGCCAAACCTTCCCCCGCTTCCTCCGCCGCCAATGGTCGCACCGGTACCCTCCGCAGCCACCTCTGTGTGCCGGTGCCCCCCTGTCACCCCCCGCCGGCACACCCTCCCCCTCCAGGCATTGTCCCTCGCATTGTCCTGAAAGTTTTCGTCGAGCCGGCATAGCGGTTGAGCCGCGTGATTACCATATGAATTAAAGTAATGTGATATATGATCACGGGATACGTCCAGCACGGCCGCGTTTGAAGAAGACTTGCGGCTCCAAGAAACGTGAAATGCGGAAAAGGCGCCGGTGAAGCGGAATCGCGAGTCAGGAAAGCCTGGATCTTTCACCGAATCGTCACCGAGAAAACGCACTTCCGATAGAAAATAGTGGTCGGAAGAAAAGTTAGTTCACGTCACAGAAAGATTTAATGATAAAAATTTTTATGATAAAATTCGCTTTAGATGATCTATAATTTATGACAGACTTTTAAAAAGAAATCTATTTATAATTGAAAATATTTAAAGAAAAAATTTAACAAAATACATATGTACGAAATATGTACCAATTTAATATTTATTGACAAATTTGAGAAAGCTTGGCGATATCAGCGAACGATCTTTCAGCTATCCCCTGAACAGTTTTTAGGCTTTCGTAATGCTTGAGCGTTCACCAACGCGTGTACGGGACACAAATTTGTCGCAACAAAAAGTTTGCCGAAGACAAATCGCGCGCACCCTCGGGAGACGCTGCACGTGCCGCGCACTTCGATACCGCGATAGCGTCTCCCCGTTTTAAAACGAGCCGCCCGTGATCTCCCCTCGGCGCCTCGTCGCCTGCCCAGTCTCATTTTGTGCGATTTGGGGCCAGTTTGAAGCCGCTCACAATGGAGCAACCATCGCGGGCATTACCGCCGTGGTCGGCTATCGGCTTGACGGCGCGCGCGTAGCACGCGACTCTGCTTTCTGGTCGACGCGATATCTCGATCGCAATAAATTCACATTAAACTATCTGCTTCGCTATAGTCCCGGCCGCAGCTTTAATACATCCCATCCCCGCCCGCGCGCGCTATCCCCCTCCGTGCCCGCCTGTACGAAGCCATCCCCGCTCTTCGGACGACGGACAGTCTATCCGTTTCGTTGTCGGCGCCGATTTTAATTTTCTGATTTTGCTATGTGCTTCGCGTCACTCGCGTGCTTTCTTAATCACATTTCTTCCATTCATCTTCGGTTATAGAGTAGACGCAATGACCCGTAAAAAAATTGTTTTACAATATATATTAATTAATCTTTAGAAAATTGCTATTTTATTTATTGCCAACAGTTACATTTAACCCGCTCAATTTCATTAAAAACGGTAAAGTACTCCACTAACAAATGCTTAATTCCAAATATAAAAGAGAAATTCGTTTGGCATGTACAATAAAAGAATTGCTCAATCCGTTCTGCTCTTCTTTCCTTTTTCTCTTTCTCATTTTTTCCCGGCATATCCTATCTTCCTGCCGGCAAGCAGTAGTAATTAATACGTGTTACGAGTGAACCTCACTAATCTGGTGTTAGAATCGTGGCGATTACCGCCCCTAACGCAGGTAAATACGAGGTCGCGTAAACTCGACCGCCGGTTAAACTCGCGCGCCGCTCGCTCACAATGGGCGGCGTGTGTAAGGCTGCCGCATTAATTTCTAGTAATTATCAGAGGTGTATTTCATCCGGGGTGGGTCGCGGGTCGTGTCCGGGGTCGACCACTGCGTGTTAACGCCGTTGTTATGCCCCATTATATTGTCCTACCAACACACGCGAAAGGAAGGAGAGACACGAGCGTCATGGGCTGCGAAAAGGCTGGTCGTGTAGGCCATTTTTACAAAAATAAAAAGTAAGGTGTCTCTTTCTCGCACGATACGTTCGTTTCCGATTCTATTAAATATGCGATTCTTGTGAAATATATAATTAAATTGAAATCTTTTTATACTTTTAAATGTGACGAACGTGTGAGTTGTCACTATTTTCATGTCAGATTTGTATTATCCGTAAATATATATATATTGTTCGTGCAAACAAACTAAAAAAACAATTCTTCAAATATCTCAAGATATTTAACGTATTATTTCTTTATACTTCATATATTTTGATTATTCTGAACATTTTCAGACAACGTGATTCATCGATGCGTAACGCGCAAAAACACGCGATCAAAACGGTGTTTTGAATGAGTGGCATCGTAACGAATCGCAGCGAAAATTGATAAAATATTTAATCCACCCCTACACTTCCGCGGCGCGGGAGATAGCATTACTAATTTATTTAAATGGACTTATCTTGCCGAAGTCCCCCCGATAGGAATGTAAATTGGAACCTCCGAATCAAGGGGGTAATGGCACGAGTAAGATAAAGATATTTTATTGCTTTGCGGTCGGACATATTTAAGCAGGGTCGAAAGTCTTTTTTCCATTGTCGAATGATTCGACGGTGGAGAGACAAGGAAAGAAGACTTACCTTTATTAACTTTCTACCATTGCTCGTGAAAATGGATCTTCGCAGATTAAGAATTCGCGCCACGCCAGCTGCTGATTAAAAACGAATATATACGATCGTCTCGGCATAAAAAGAAAGATAACACGAGAGCCGAACGCGAATCCTTAGCATTGCCGATCTTTTCCTCATAAATTATAAATTTATATCATGATTAATCTACGTAGTATAATTGATATATTTTTCAAAAACTCTTTATATCTTTTATGAGATAGTATAAACTTCAAGCAAAACCAAGTTACGTTTGCGAAAAGTTGATTCTTTCCACAAATCGCACTTGATACAAAAAAAAAAAATCATTTTTAATTATGCACCCAAAAGAATTAAAAACATAATTGCTGATGATTAATTCTATAAAATGGCAATTAAAATAAGAAATAAATATTTGAAATTATAAGACTCACTCAAGATGAAATCAAAGATCCGAGCGTTTGAACCAAGCGTTTCTTAGCGATGTATTGTGCCAGTTTTTTATGTTTCCAGTTGAGAGATTAGTCTCTCAGGATATTTATGACATCTGTAACACAAAAATAGCGATATTTTGCGGTTAATAAAATATATTTCATAATTTTAAATACATTCACATTCTATTACCATACATGTACACACGTCAGGACGTATTGTATTTGTCTTATTTATGTCTCACTTATCTTTAACATCGAGACGCCTGCTTGAGCGGTCATTCCTGGTGTAATCACGATTATAAATCTGTACTACAAGTCATGAAATTCTGGCGGATACGCGCCGACGTCGCGCAACGGCACAACAAAGAGCGAGCGGCTGCCGAAAAATAACGCGACTAAAAAAAAATGTAAAAAAAAAAACAAACAGGCAAAACAGAATAAAAATAGAGCAGAATAAAATAGAGCATTGTCGTGCTCGGTAGAGAAGCGGTCGGACCGGTAAAATAGAAAGGACCGGCCGCGCGAGCGCGGGCAATAATTCGAAACAAAATGTCAAGCGGGCCCACCATTGTCGGGCGCGGTAGTGCGGTAGGCGCCAACTAGCACCAACGAGAAAATATCGTCGACAGTAAATCAAGGTGCTCCGGCAGAAGAGAGAGCAGGCCCTTTCACCCCTTTCATCCCTCCGCCGTGCCGGACGATCCGCTTCGGGCGGCCGCACGATCGCACCGACGCTCGCTTCCGTTTTTCATCATACGTACGTCATAAATAAGCCGAGACGGCTCAACATTTCAAGGTTGCCACCACGAGCTTCGATCGCCCCCGTTGCTCTGGGAGGAAGGGGGAAAAAGCAGTCAAGAGTATTGCAAAAACTTGTGATTGAAAATCCATGACAAGGGAACGCAAAGTAATAAAGTTTTGATCGTAACATTAAATATATGAAAAAGAGGATAAAAATACGAGGTATCTATTATATCGATACAATACCAATAAAAATTCTTGTAATCGCATTTCTGAACTATCTTGCTAGAAGCCGATCAAATCGTAATATAAAGAATATGAAGAACATATATAAAGAAGCTATTGGTATAAAAAAATTTCTTTGTAAAATTTTGAATTTTTGTAGTTTGAAAGTTTAACAAATAAAAATAAAATATTAGAAATTTTAGATTGAAGACGCAATATAAAGATCTCACAAACACTATTATCGTGTCGACTAACATACGTGCGAAGCTCTACGAGCGAATCGCAACATATGCCCTAGAAAAGCGCTAGCTTGCGCGAACGAAATCGTTTAGCGACGCCTGGTTGACAACGAAACACTGTTACGAGCGGCATCGTGAGACCGGTGTAAGCTGCGTGTTCGCAGTCAAGTTACATACTCGTACCGGAAGACCGTGACGAAGCGAGAATCGGGGTGGCCAAAAATAAAGGGACAGATAAGTACTTAACACATAAAACGAGATTCGATTAACTTTGGTGTTCGCGTTTTAGTTAAAAAAATCACATCAAAAATAACATAGAGTTGATCAGAATATTTATAGCTCATTGCATAGATTGAATTATATATGATACATTGGATTATATATAATACAGTTCCATATTTTGTAATGTTATAATTGAATAAAGTAATTAGTTCTACTTTTAGATACATAGATTCATGTGTGTAAATTGTGAAAATATTGTAATCAATTAAAATTCTAACTAAATTAGAACTGAAGAAAGATAAATTATATGAACGCAAACAGTGACTCATATCTTCTCTTACAAAAGTCCCCCGAAGAAACCGCGTATCCGGTGATCAAAGGTACAATAGTAGAAGGCAATGTGGACGTCAAGACGTGGCTCGTCTGGCGAGAATCGGTAAACCGAGAACTTAATGTCTCGGAACGGACGCTATATTAGCATATCCGTGTCCAATCGTCGCCCACGTGGCAAGGGTGCCGTGGCGAATCGGCCCCGAGCTATGACATTGTCATTATTTCAGTGACAGAACAAGCATGCGCGCGATTCTCCACGGGAAGTATCGCTAACAAGGGTGGGAAGCGCGACGGACTGATCGCGAGGGAGAAAGACAGATACATGTTCGATTTAAATAAAAGAGTAAAGCCCTGATATCTCGCAGTGCCTTTGTTTCATTAATTTATGCCATTTGTTTATCAATCGCAACATTGTTAATTGATTTATTTTTTATAAATTTATTATTTTCATAAGCGTGACAAGCTTTTATCTCTTGATTTTTTATCCTCTGTTTTAAACAAACAGATAATCATGATTTGTTAAATAATTATTTAGTATTGCTTTGAATTTTATGATTATCACACTTTGCGCTATTATATATAAAATACAAGAAATTTCTAAAATATAACTGCAAATCTCAAAAATCTTAAAATCGTAGTCGGAAAGAAGCAAAAATAAAAAAAGAATAGGAATAGAGAAAACAATTTCACCATGATATAAAATGCAAGTGAGTGAGAGAGAAAGAGAAAGAGAGAGGGGGGGGAGGGAAGGAGAGAGAAGAAGAGCGAAGAGATGATAGGAGTCCTCAAGGGGCCCTTCGTCGCTCTATAAGGGATACAACTACCATCGAGATCCGGGTGCTCCATGTTATTTATCTTTATGGACCTCGGGCAGAGGGCAAGTACACTTACTTCGGGGGTGGTGAAGGGGCTAGCTTAAGCCGGAATGAGGGTAGTAAGAGATTGTTTGTCGTATTGGCCGCGGTTTCAACGAGCTTAACGTTACCCGTTTAAGAGATTTTGCGGTTTTCTCTCTTCCGATAAAGTTAAAACCAGTTGGCTCTCTCTTTCAACGAAAGAGCTTTGAGATATCTCTTGTTCATGAGAAATTCAACAAGTCAACGTGTAAATTTATGTCAATTTGCCAGCTAGTAATTACATGTCACGATTTCTTATATTTATATTTCTTATATTTAATTCTAGAGTATTGGAATATATAAATAATGATATTAAATTTTTACCAATTTCAAATTTAACATTGAAATATTAACTTAAACGTTAATAAAATATACAATATAAATACAAAAGTTTCTTTTTTTATTAATCCATTAATGCAAATAACTTTTCTTAAGTTAAATATAATTAATAAATTTAATGGCTAGCATAAAAATTTGAAAGGATTTTTCTATATTAAAAGTTCTTTAATATTTTAATTCATACAAGTAAATTTATAAGAAGTGATTTGTATGTTTACTGTTCTGTACGCTATTTTACGAACGTAGGATGAAACAATCGATTCAGTACTCACAGATCGGATGGCAGGGAGAGGTTTCTGAGTGGCCAGAAATTAATCTATTGCCGCGTAATCGGCTTTCAGTGATTTAGCACGGAAGAGACAAGAGGAGGACGGACGACGTCCATGAACTAAAGAGCAAGATCGATTCTCTATCTAGAAAGTCAATGCGAACTCCTATAGTGTCCAACAAAGTCAGTTAAAAACAAACCTTTTCTAAAGAGGACAAGAAACAGTTCTGCTTGCATATCTTTAAAAAATATATAATAAAAATATAAATAAGGTAAAACAGGTATATTATGATATGTATAAATATAAATTACAGCTTTTTAAAAAAAAAACTAATAAATTTATGAATAAAACTTATTAATAGACAAGTCATAAAATTAAGAGTATATAAAATACGACATATTTAATGTCACGGATATTCTTTTATTAATTAACAACGATCTGGATTACATACAGTGCTTATGTACAATGTGATATTTACATCGAAGTGATACAACGTGATATCGGGATAAAACAATTCTTATAAAACGAAACAGAACTTTAATATTTCTATATACAGAAGAAGTTAATAGTTTATTATATATATAATACAGACTTATACGTTACATTTAATTCTGAAATAATTTGGTATATGTGTCGTGATATCTTAATTAATATTTCTGTCAGTAATATGAGACAATTATAGAATGTGTAATATCGAAATCTTCGTTAAACATCTATATGGTATTTGATTTTCTTGCTTTTTCAATCGATACATCAACTTACTTACAGTCCTATAATTTATAAACGCAATCTGTTTGGTATTAAAAGTTTTACTACGAATATGTACATGCTACTGTGATTATTGCTGTACAGAATACTGTATATGTTATCTTAATGATTACACATCTGTCTCCTCTCTCAAATCTTATAAGTAATCTTATGCATAGATTCATTATATCGCAACATGAGCTATAATTAAACGATTGAAACAAAATAAAAAATAATATTATAGCTATAATTGTACAAACTTTTTTTGGAAGTACTTGGATTAAAACTGGATTATGCCTGCTCAGATAAAATTCCTTTGTTGGGGAAAGCGGCGCGATAATTCACGTAATTTTCGGACAATATTAAGCCACTCGGCGACAAGTTAACCCTATGCTAAGTTGTACACCGTCGACGGAAATGCGATGGGGGTGACGGCGGAGGCGGGGACGGCTCTTGACGGTGGTTGGAGGCCGGGCTGTATTTAAAACGCGAATGCGCGCCGGCCGATTCGCCGTTTGAAGTTAAATGGAGTGTAAATGGCAGATAACAAACCGGCACTGTTTCCGATTACGGCATTCATTGTTTCCTACCATTATGCGCGCTCCGACGGTTTGTGTGTGACGCGGGTTACGGTTTACGATCTATTTATTGCCACGCCGCCCTCACCTCCGTACACACGACCGAAATGCGCTTTACACGCTTGCAACACCCCCGCTCTCCCGCCGAACACGCAGCCCTTCCGTACCCACGGCTGCCACCAAGCCCCGCTGCCCATCGCCACGCCAGCGCCCACCGCCCGTTTCACCTGCCCGCCGTCGTAAATACACGGCAAATATTTTAGTTTCTACATTGTGGAAATCGAGTCGTTCGAATGGACCGTATGTAATTTGTGAGTGTATCGAAATACGACCGCGATTATTTTCCCCTTGACAATTTTAGCACGCTGCTTTTCCCCAAATATGCGTGATTTTGGGATACTTTATTGCGACAGTTGGTTTCGTGTTCAGAACTATGTTGTTATATTAAATTGTTTGAATCTCAAAAATTGAATATTCCTGAATTTATAAAGAAAGAGGTAGAAATATATACTAGTCACTCATGTGATATCTTCATTCTATTGTAACAAGTATAAAAAGATATAATACGAGAGATTAAACATCTATAAATACTTTGGAATTTATGTATAACAGTCATGCAAACACGAATTATGTAGATAATTACGTATTTAAAATTTTTATATTTTTTTCAAAAAAATCAAAATTAGACGCCGAATTTTAAATCATTTGTCCTATTTGATATTTTTGCCTCCTTCTCTAAAAATGCATAAAAACGCATAAAAACTACTGTTTCTCGCATATAAATGCGATATTTAAATTGGATTGTATTTAGAAAGTGATATTGAACATATTTTGTTATATCTCACATAGATATTAAATTTATATTTCTAGAAAATATTTTTATGATTATTTTGTTTTCCAAAAATTATTCAGTATTTTATATCAATCAATTTTGTTATTGTTTGCTGTAGTGAAGATATTTAGGTCTAATAATCTTGATCAAAGATATATGCTATTGACTTATTTACACTTTACTCTTGAAGTATCGATAACTCTTATACTTATTACTTATTTCAAGAAGTTAAATTTATTTACAAATTGTTCCTACCTAATATTGACTAGACAGGGAATGTCTGATCGCAGTGCGTAAGTTAAACTAGAGTATGCGTTTATATCGATCGATGTATTCATAGATATTAATTCGCAGCGAATGTGAAATTTCTTTATCATACACGTATACAATGTAAGTGTCGCAATAGTACATCTATACAAAGTTTTGCAAACCAAGCGAGTCATTATTTATACATAATTCTTTGTCCAATTTTAAATCAATTCTTCCTAGATAAAAATTTCTCGCAAACAGTTAATTTTCTATATTAATATCGTTGTAATTTTTTAAGTATAAATCTTTCAAAACATCCTGAAATCATGAAAACTTCTGAAATCTAATTCTTGAAAGATCCTTTGTTATTAATTACTTATAATTAAAAAAATTACTATCGTCGTTTTTTGTTAAAGAAAAGTCGATTCCAAATTAGTGAAAAAAAATACATAGATAAAAAATGACTCAATAAATCTGCACACTGCATATATTTGCAATGTAAAAGATGTGTAAAAATTCGTTTAATCAGAACTATCGAAAAGATAACATTCAAATTATGTATTTCTGATTCGTGTTTAGCTCAAATATCTTTCTTTTTCTCGCCGAAAGCGATATTTCAATTTCTCTCTCTCTCTCTTCAATCTAATGAAACGCAATGATAAACGAACAACGACTTCATTACCTAGAAATGTCTTGGCTTGCTGATTTTCGTTATCCCACGCAATTCAATTCTCAAAGGAATAGCCAGCCGTCAGAATATCCTCGGTCGGCAGTTTTCGTCGTCACTTACTGTGAACGGGAGTAGCCCTCCTCTTGACCTCGACCTGATCGACGATACCGTCGCTCTCCTTGTCCTGATGAGCGGTCATGTGTCTGGTGAGGTGATGCCTCTCGCGAAAGCTCTCGTCGCAAACGGGACACCTGAGCTTCTCTTCTCTCCTCCTCCTCGCCGCCTCGCCCAGGCTCTCGTTTTTGTGATGAGAGCGCATGTGATAAACCAGATCGGAGGTCATTCGGAACGACAGATTGCACTTGGCGCAGACGTTTTGCGCCGGTAGAGTTAGGGCGGCGAACGACGGCGGCAGGAGGCCGGCCACCCCGGCCGCCGTGGCCAGGAATCTCGGCCTGGCGAGAGCGTCCGCCATCGGCGGGAACACGGAAATAGGATTGTAGGAGAGGTTGGGATAAACCGGCGGGAGATCCGGTCGGAAAGTGGCCACCTTCGGGCTCGGCACTTTGGGCGGCTGGGCGATTTGTGGGATCTTCAGGTTCTCCAGCAGTCCTGTTTGACCGGTCTCCGCTCCTACAGTCAGGAACGGATACGTCATCTTCGTGGGAAACGACGCGTACTTGTAGCTCGTTGCGCCGGGCAACGGCACCACCGGCGGGCTAACGCTGCTCTGATAACTCGCGCGATCGTCCGGCGATATCGACGATCTAGGTGACGCCTGGCTGTCGTCGTTGAAACCGTTCCGCTGCGCCGCCAGGTTGACCTTCGTGAAGGCGCTGCGAGATTCGCCATGACGATCCGCGCAAGTGATACCCGTCTCGTAAACCTTCGCGCAGGCCAAAATCGACGGATCCGTCGACTCCGGACAGCCGGTCAGCATGGATTGATGACCGACAAACGCAGGCGGACTCGGAGTCTTCTGAAGCCGACCGCCGACCGGCGCGTATCTTCTTCCATCGGAGTCCGGAGACAATCCTGGCAAAGTTGGCGTCAAAGTCCTCGGAGACACGTAGGGCGGACTCAACGAGTTCTCCGTGCATTGCAACAATCTTCTTCGGTCCAAGCCGCCGGAATCGTTGTCGTAATGTTTGATGGTAAGATTCTGCGGTAGTCTATCGGTATCTAGAACGTTGTCCGCAGGAATGTCATCTCGCAGACGGTCCTTTCGGCTAGATATCAATCGCAACTTTTCGCTCTGACGACGCACCAGATTCTCGTCGGGCGCCATCAGGAAGGCGACGTCGAAGGAGCGCTTGCTGGCGCGTTGAAGGGGATACGAAGCATCGGGCGTGACATCGCTGATGGACGCGGGGCACGCCGACGTCAGTGCCGTCGTGGCCGGTGTCGAGGTCGCGGGGGCGGCGCGGTCGATGCCACTCGTGCGATCTTCCATTGTCATCCTGCTCGCTCCGGATGATCGACCTGTGACAATGACGACGGGTGGACGGTGAGTGCTAACGTCGCATCGCGGAATGATTGATCACTCAAGATTCGATACACTCGACCCAGATGTCCTACATTCCGCATAAATAGAAGCAAAGCAAAACTGATCGTCGGGATAGTCGACAAAAAATAAGGTACAACGTAGACATTTTAAACTAAATGTATAATTCAAATAAATCTCTTGCATTTCATACAACAAAATGCAAGTTAAAGAAATATTTGTATAACTGTCATTAATAACAACGCAATATTTTTTGAAAACACAAGTTTCTCATAAAAGAAAAAAGTAAAGAAATATTGAATTTACAATTTAGCATTTGACTTATTTATAGAATTAACTTTTCAAAGTGTACTCGCATTAATTCAAATATCAAAATATAAATCAGATATATATCAAAATTAAATTTGATCTTTGAAAAATATTTGTACAATAAATATGAGATTTGCCATTTGTGTAAAATTGTTGTAGAAAAAATTTCAATTTTAAATACTTTTTTTAATTGTAAAAACAAAAAATTCTAATAGAATAGAATCAGATTTATCATATTATCACAATATTTCTTTAATTATACAATGCAATTTATTAGAATGTTATCTGTTTATTTTTAATAATTAATTTATATCACAAGAATATGTCAAAAATAATATTTTAAGAATTAATCAACTATCCCACAATGAGAACATTGCAATACAAGAATGCTATTTAAAAATTAATAAGAATCTCTAAAAAACTTCTTAAAAAAAATATATAGAAACTACTTAAAAGATTAAAATCTCTAAAAAATCTTTGCATTATTATTTGACAAATTTGGTTATATATAATAAAATATATAGAATAAGATTTACTTACCAGATTATAGCAGCAAGAGTGTTTTCTTCCAAACACACGAGGTCTTCAAGCTATGCTAGCTGGGTCACGTTTTCCATCTTCCTCAAGATGCCCCTTTTAATCTTCTTTAAGACATCAAACCGCACTTTTTCTCACAAAGCTCTCTCTCGCCGAGACTGATTCTCGTAAGCACGCAAGCCCGAAATAAGTCACAGAGGGCAAAACTAAGCCCCTAGAGGACCCACCGATCTGGTGTACAGTCCGGGGCGCACTAAAGTGGCGAACACCCGGAGTCGTATCGGCGGTTCGCGTTAAAATGAGGGTGCTGTTCGCGCATCCCCCGTATTTAGGGGTAGCCGCGGCGGAGGGTAGCACAAGCGTGGCAGGTGGAGGCGCGACAAGGGTGGCACTGGCCAATGACGATGTTCGCTGCGTTATACAGGGGTGGAGCGTAGCAACGGGGTGAACATATTCGCTCGTCGGGACGCGTCTGCTAGCACCGTCCAGACCACGCCTACATATTTCAGGTTCGACACATGTGCCCGGGATCGTCGTCGTCGTTGTCGTCGTCGTCGTCGTCGGCGGCTCTTGCCACCCCCTCTTCCCCCTCCCCCTCACCCCACCTCTCTCAACACTACCTTACCGTGTCCGCGTTGCGCAACGCGTTCCGCAGAATCCTGGTCTCCCCGGGGTGGCAAACGGGGTGGCAAAGGTGATGGCGGGAGGATGGGTATGAGCGGAGGCTGTAATTCAGCCTGACAAACGATCTTGAATATTTTTAACGCCCGCGCTCCAGCCTCCGCTCTCTTTTTATGGCCGACTCGCGGCTATATTGGACGTTCGGCAGACGTCTGGACCTGCTGATGAAGGTACGACGACGACGACGGAATAAATCGCTTCGAAAACGCAAAATATGAAGAAGCATTGATAAGATAAGCGATAGAAGCTTCGAAAATTCTTTCGCGAAAACGAGCTTTATCATTTATACTGTGAGTTGATTAAAACACATATATAATGTTATATATTCATATATCTATTCACAAATTAAGATATTAAATTTTTTTCCAACGTTACTAATTATTTTTTTAAAGAAAATTGTTATTATATTCAAATACATTTATCTTATCGTCTTGAGTGAACCATGTGATATATGCCGATATAGCACTTGAATCACCATTAACTCAAGCTAAACTGAATACGAAAAGAAATTATTTTTTAAATAAAGATATCATTTCCTTTGCTTTATAATTACGATTGTAACATATTTTTGACTCAATTGATTATTTTTCAATTTCTATTATTTCTTCGCCTTAGATATATTTGAAGTACGCAATTATTGGAATACAAACTATTGCAAATATAATCATTTTATAAGGTTTCGCGCGTAAATCTCGAAATAAGTCAGGACGGGTGGCATCGTAGTCTCATGCCGGAAAAATAACTCGATACAAGTAGGTGCAGCGGGCAAGAAGCACCGCTACCCGCCACGGAGCCAATAGGCGATCAATCATACGCCGGTGATCTATTTTACCGGGCATGTGAGAGCCGTCGATTTCTTACGCGATTCCCGAGATCCCGGCAAATCCTACGGGGAACGCCGCGAGGTTAAAGGACATTAACTTCTTGATTGAGTCGGCAAAAAGTTGTAATGACTTTTCGATTGGCGCGATCCTACGCTCGGCAGAGATTCGTGAACAAGTATTTGCGAAAGAACGTCGCCGTTTTTTACGTCTTATACGGAATGTCTCTGAAGCAGAGAGATGTTCTTTCGTATACAGAAACTCAAGATCAAACTAAGAAAAAAGTTTTAACGAGAAGGAATCAATGATTAAAAAATTATTCGATACTGAAAATTGAGAGATTTTGATAAATTGTTTGTAAGTATATGCTTTTCAATAGACAACAAAATATTCAATTTAATTGATATTAAATGTTATATAATAACATATAATAAATATAATTTGAATTGTTATTTGCGTTGCCGTTTAGTTCAAGAATGTTTGTTGAATTTTGTTGTTTAAGAACTCTCTGCCTCATAAAAAATTTCTTAAGAATTCCGAGGAATCGAATTTTCAAATTAATTCCATGAAATATATGCCTTGTACTTCACAATGCATTCGTATTATCGCAATAAATTGCAACGTTACGTCAAAGTTTATATTTGTGGTAATAAAAAATAGCGTGAATAATATGAGACAATCTCGGTAATTCGATAAACTGAAGTGTTCCGACGAGACACTCTGCTCTCGGCAATAGTTCCTTAGCGATTCATGCTTAGAATAAATTAAACGATCCGCCTCATGCGTAGCAGATAGTGTGGTGCGCGATACAACCGAGTCTAATCCTAATTCGAAGTCGTAAAGTCGGGAGAATCGTTACGACGATGTTACGTATGACACGCGTCGCACGACGGGGCGGCTGCAAAATGTCTCTGTATCTTGGCGCAGCCATTCCTGGATTATGAACCATATTTATTGCCGATCATACAGCACCGTTCCGCGCGAAGTCGGAGAGACGGCGATATACCGATCCCTAATTCCATTTTACGCCCCTCTGGCGCGCTTCGCGTGAGACAGCGTTCTTGCGGAGAAGCTTTGCTTTTTCATCCTCCTTTTCTACTTTCTCATAATAATGATATAATATGTGAAACGACAAAAAGATGAAAAAGACGTATCGCGCTTGTAATATAGTTTTACTTTAAATTATTAAAAATATTCTTCGTTTAAAGATAAAAGTTTTGTGTATCTAATAAAAAAATATTGATTAATTTAAAAGATAATTAATTCGAGGTTTTCTCTCGCGTCACGTTTCCCTCTTTTCTATTTTATCTTGTCCCTTCAGTGATTCTCACGAAAACTGTAACGCTGAACATTCGTCTCACTTGATTTACATTCTAAATTCTCAAGTAGAAAAACACGTCGCGCGTGAGAATCGCACTTTGCCACCATCTGCCCATGTTATCCTGCAAATCGGCCAGAAAGGGCAAGTTTCACGTCGCCTAATTCGACTAAGTTAAACGCACGAGCGGACGAGCTGACGGCGCTCGACACGTGGCAGACACGCGTGAGCTGTTAGCACAGAGTGTGGGTTCGTCGAAGGGCCGTTTAACGCTGGTGCTGGGTGCCGTGAAAGGCACTTTAACACCAACCAGTATCTGTTACATAGGTCCACGAAAGGGACACCTTACATGACGCGTGTACTTCGGCTCGATTGACTTCTGCATGGGAATTAATATATCGTCAAGTGAATGATTCTACGTAATCGCGTGTCACCTAAATTTGCATTATAAGAAATTGACGTATTTCTTTCCTTATTTCCTGATTTATATATAAAATTAATCATGTATTATTATCATGTATTAAAAGTAATCATGTATAATTATATATTTATATCTAAAAATTCTCAACAAGTACTAAAATTTTTTTATTGTACTGTTAGATGTAATATTTTGATAATTGCTATCAGTATCGATATTGTCTTGCATTTCTCGTTTAAACTTAGATTTTGAAAATATTTTATGCAATGCTTTGCGTTTCGCGAAGGGAATGTCATCCGCTTCTCGCATCGCTGACGTGGCTACATGGGGCGGAGTGCATGCGCGTTTCTATCGGCGCTGCATAGTGATAAATATGCAGCCGATGCAGTTGATGAGAAAAGGTCGTTTATCAATCACCCATTAACGCAACCCCGCCGAAAACCTGCTCGCTCCTGAGCCATATTTCACAGAATCATCGCGATTCCCTTCCGGCCGCTTTGGCCGCACGCTCGGTTTTCCATTAAAATTCACGGTCTGCGTTGTTCAAAATCAAAAAACAGATTAAAGGAAAAATCACTTCTTGGTAGTTAATTTATCAATGTAACAGCTAAATATTATATTAACAATTTACTCTTTTATAAAAATGTAAAAATAATAGCTATATAGAAATTTATAAATTAAAAATATAAAATCCTACAATTTAAAATTTCACAAATTTAGTAATTGAAATATTAAAGAAAATAAATTTTCATGGATAACATTCTTCATCTACATTTAAAATAGTAATTTGACTTATAAAACGTAATATACGTGAAATAAGAAAATACAGTGAGAGAAGAGAAAAGGTTAGTGCTTCACGAATTCTTGAAAC